CAGTGCGGACCCCTCGCCTAAAGCCGGTGTGAGCTCCGCTCCGAGAGCAGCGACCGTGCCGGCCGGACACAGGGACAGAGCCCAGGGCAGGTGGAGCTGCTCTCCAGCATCCCCTCCCTGTTCCCGGGAGTCGCACCCCACACTGGGCGCGGTGGCAGAGGGGGAGTCTGCAGGGAAGGGCTTGTAAAAAATGGGTTAGAAATTGTTGTAAAATTGTTGATAGATCGAAGGTTAAGGGGCTGGGGCTGAGCCTGCCCTACCTCGGGACAGGACGGCGTTTGGCGTGACTTTCACCGCACAGCGACAATAAACACACCGAGAACTTCACAGACAAGGGAGTGAAAAAGAGGGAAAGGGGGCCCTGGGACCATGGCATGTCCGGAGTGACTGTCCCAAAAGCAGCAGCACGGGAGACAGGCCTGTCCCGGGAGCAGCGGGAGCCGGCCGGGCCGGAGCGGGGCTGCTGCGGGGCTGGAGCGGGGCCGGGCTGCGCCGCCCGGGGCCGGCCGGGCTGGGCCGTCTCCTTCATGTGCGTCTCACTTTGTATTGAATGATGTTAAGCAGGGCTGGAGCTGGCGCCTCGGCCTCATTACCTTCAATTACAATAATTGTTGCCTCTCTCCAGTGTTTTGCATTTCTCCCTGGGGGAAATCTCTCTGCAGCTTCTTTTCCAATCTTGCTCCAGCTTTCTCCTATCGATTGCATCGCTCTGGCCCCGATTCTAGGAGCCATGCCTCCAGGAGGATAAATGCAAATCGCCCTATTGATTGGGAGGAGTTGGAGTGCAGCTCGCTTGGGGGAGGGAGGATTAGTTTTAAATGAAAAAAAAAAAAAGTAAAGTGATGAGCATGGCAGGAAATGCTTCACTTTCTGGGCCTCTTAAGTAGTGTCCCTTTATCATGTCCTGTGTCTGAGGGGGATGCAGATTGGTGCCATCTGGATAATATTTCACGTGCATGGAGAGGTGGATCCTGCGACATAGACACTAGTCTGGTTTCTGACTTATTTTAAGTGAACGTGTATCACTGATCATCTCTGGAACGCAGCTCCCCTCCTCCAGTTTGGAGGTAACTGGGTTTCACTGGGACACGCTAATTGCTGCTGGAAATGAGCAGGGAGTAATGTGCAGGCTCTACCCACCTCCCTGAGCTGCCCCAGTTACAGGGATAAAGCTCCCTGGGAGTTATTAACCTTGAGGGAACCTGCTCAGCAGCCTGTTTGTCACAGGGGAGCGGCTGGAGGAGCCAGCCTTTGGGATCTGCATAGCCTTAGATCCTGAAATGGCTACTTGCTTCAGGAAATCCATGGCCAGACCCTGAAGTGGGAAGCCAAAAGAATTGCACAGTCACATTATGTTCCCTGCCCCCTTGCCTTTATGCCAAGCTAAGCTAGCTTAAGCCTTAATTATTTTTTTAAAGGCAATAATCAGCATAAATAAATGTAATTCAGTAGAATTAGCTTTTGTGTATCATATCCCAAATGCTAGCAAAGCAACTAAAAAAACAATGGTTGTTTGTTGGCTAGTGTTTAGCATTTAACAAAAAACCCCAAACTACTCTGATTAATGCTGCTCCAAAGATGCTTTAAACAGTCCTAATGCTTTTAACTTCACATCATTTCCAAATGAGAAACTCCCAGCTGAATCATAATTGCAAGGTGCAAAAGGGAATGGATATGGTGTACGAATGTTGCTTTTGACACCAATTTGAAATGACTCCAAAGCAGCAGTACCAACCTTTTCCTGCTGGTGCAGCGAGCATCTGATGTGGCAGTCCTGACGCATGCTGGTGTGGGCATGCAGATCCAGCAGCATGCAAATCCTCATCTCCCTGAGGAATGTGGGTCTCCCCAGGACAGGGCTGCAGCCATGCCTTGACTAGAGGCGATGGTAGAAACAATTTGCAAATTGCAGCTCTAACAAATTTTTATTTTTGCCTAATTTTTTTCTTTTTTTGTGTGGGGGGGTGCATGCATTGTTGAAAGGTTCAAACAAGTATATAACAAACAATTATACTGTGAAAACACGGGTTTTTTGCTAGAAATGGACAGAAGGGTTACATCCAGTCATTTTGGGGAAATGGTGGTGAGCTGCCAGCATGCCATGAAAGTTTATAGAGAGGTGAGGAATTAATGATAATGTTCAAAGCTGTCAGATGAAAGAAATATCTTTGATTCCAAACTGTTTTTCTGGGGTGAGTTACCTATATCAGGGGCACCTGCAGGCTGAAGCTGTAGCTTTGTTTTGCAGACAGGTTGCTGTGGTGGCACATAAACAGTAGGCCAGTAGCAGCAGGGACAGGCATTAATTCCAATTCATGTGAAAAAGAGAAAGAGACTATATGAAAGAAGCAAAACAATGGGAGGAAGTCGAATTTTCTAAAGCACAGTTCCCATAGCCAGAGAAGAGCTTTTCTCTTGTTCAGAGTTCTGTACTTAGAAAATGC